ACACACACACACACACACACACACACACACACACACACAGAGCCAGGATTAGCCTTGCAGGGTCCAGAGCCCTCTAGTGGTTGTTCCTAGGAGCTGCTCTTCCCCCTTCTGCAGGAACAAGAGAATTCCAGATTTAAGAGAACCCAAAAGGGTCCACCCTACTTGCTGGCAGCTGACCGGGTGTCCTGAAGAGTAGTTCTGTGGACACCAGGCAAGGGGAAACCCTGCTTTACGACACTTGGGAGGAAGTACTAGAGTCTCCCAGGGAAGGCAGGCAGAGGCTGCTCAGGGGTGCGGGGCTAATGTGTGCTGGGTTAGGGTTAGGCACACCCGGTGGCCAGGCAGTGCCACTCCTGGGCCTGTTCCCCATCTCTCACAGGCCCTCCCAAGGAAAGGCATCTGGGCAACAGTACCCTTTTCTGCCCTGACCTCTCCCACCCCCGCCTCTGTGGGAACCCAGTTGCAGGCGATGCTGTGATAAGGAACATCTGCGGAGGAAGTAGCCGCCAGGCCGGCGTGGAAGGCTGGCCCCGCAGCCCAGAGTCAAACAGGCAGTGGGACTGCCGTCTTCGGGCCATGCCAGTCAGCGTCTAGCGGGCCCAGGCCGGGGAGTAAATGGACTCTCCGCAAGCCAGGTCACTCAGGGGTTCCAGGGCCAAGGAGAACCCCCAAGAGTCTTGGTGTACACAACAGAAGTTTCTGGATGGGGCCTACAGGCCACTGATAGCAAGGGATCCCAAGTGTGAACGCAAGCTAAGATTGGGGAGGTGAAAGGAATTCTGCCCTGAGGCCCCCGTCTCCAGTGGGAGCCTGCGTGCGAGGGGGTAACTCGCCCTCGTTTCATCAACCCCAGGGAGTCCCCGAAATTCGGCCCAGAAACAAAGCCATGTCTGCATCCTGCCAGTAAGACCAGCTCAGGCCCTGTTCACCGGCAGGACCCAGCTCCGGTCTCCCATGCCAACGGGACGCTGAGGAAGACCGAGGCCTCACGCAGGACCTGGAGGCGAAAGTAGGAAAAGATGTTAGACCAAGTGTCGCCAGGCCGCGACCCAGCCCCTGGGGAGCCCCAGCGCCAGGGGAAAGGAGGACGCACGGTTGGACAGGGCCTTGGCCCAGGGGCCCCCGCAGGTGGGGACACGTGGGCGGGGCTTATCCTAGGTGGGGCTTTCGCAGTAAGGATCCCGCCCTGGAGGGGGCGAGGGGGTGAGCCCGCTGAGGGCGGTGGACAGGGGGCGCGGTCAGGGTGCAGCCAGAAGGCGCAAAAGCCAGGCTGGCGTGGCAGCGCTCGCGCAACACCGAGGCCTGCGGATTAGCCGCCGCGCCAGAGGAGGCGCCCGCGAGCAGCCCCCGCTCGGACCGCCCAGGCGGCGCCCAGACCCGCCAAGGGCCAGTCCCAAACCCCGGGGCAAGTGTGGACAGGCCTACCGGGTGAGAGGCGATGCGGGGCCTGGCTGCCACGGCACAGGCGCTCGGGGCGAGCTCCCCAGCCTTGGGATCGACCCTGTAGCGCGATCGGGACCTGGACGCCCTTTGCGTCGTGGAAGATGGACATTTGGGTCAGCCTGACCCCTCAGCACTGCCCGGCTCCAGGGCAGACGCCCTTGGAGGAAGGGGCAGCGCGGAAGGAGGGGTCCAGCTGGTGCCTCCCTGGGTGGCTACGGCGTCTTGTCCCTTTCTGGGGCACTGCCGGCGCCAGTCTCCTAGAGCAGGGCCCGAAAATGAAGTCCTCGCGAAGCTTGGGGGCTGATGCCTTGCCTGTCACCCCGGCGCTCAGCCCCGCTCTGGAGGCCATCCTCCTCTCGCCCCACCTACAGTGGCTCCGCAGCCGGGTCCGCCATGCACCCAGCCCCTCAAACGGTGTTCTTCCTCTGACCTCCAGCTGCCGCTGGGCTCCACCGGTGCCCCGGCGTCCCCCCAGCCCCGCGCCTTCCCTGTCAGGAATCTCTGCCCACCCCCGACACCCCCAGCGCCTCGCTTTCCTAGCTTGGGTGGTACAGCTACAGACGCTACCGGGAAAGAGACCGCCATCGCTCAGCCCCGGCCTCGGCCCTCGCCTGCGGGCAGGTGGTGGGCGGCTTCGCTGGCCTCGAAGCTCCTGCCAGGGCCAGACTTGCAGGTTGGGTCTTCTCTGTTCCCTCCTCCACCCTCAAAGCCTCTCCTCCTTAGCCCTGCTTTTCGCTCACATTCTCGGGTCACAACAGCCGCTTACCGCCCTGTCTGTCCCTCGGGCCCAATGGGTTATGTAGAAGTGTGTTGTTTAGGGCCTCCGTGGTGGCACAGCGGGTTGAGCGCTGAACTGCAAAGCTAAGCTAAGCCAAGCCGTGGCCTTGCGAGTTTGGGTCACGTGGCGCAGCAGACCTCACCTGTCTCACCTGCTGCTCCTCCCAGCAGTGTATTTCAGTAGATCCCCCTGTTCTGCCCCCCACTCTGTCTCTGGTGAATCCTCTCACACACAAACCTCTGGCCTACACCCCAGATCTTGTATGTGTAAATAAAAACAAACATTTTTAAAGAGAAATACAGAGTATGACGTGTGTGTGTATGTGTGTGTGTAAAAGAGAAATACAGAGTATGAATTGTGTGTGTGTAATATAGTAAGTCAGGTAAAATGAAGCCATAGAGCATTTAAGAATGACGTGTTCAAGTGAGCTACATCACACGCCAACCACCTTTAAATACTCTAGTACGCTTACAGCTCTGGCTGCAGTTTCCATATATTCCGCCAGAGGCCGCCAAGATTCCAACCTCCGCCGCCCTCGGGATGACGGCTTCTTGTTTCTCGCCCGCGGGGCGCAGTGCCTGGTGTTCCCAGAAGGGGTCGCCAGTGACCGGAGGAAGACTGAAAGGTCCAGGGTGCTCACTTTTGCTGAAGGATGTGCGCGAACTCGGTCGCGTTGGAGTGCACTGGACACTCTGACCCCTTTCCTGCCCTTGTGTCTCAAACTGTTTAATCAAAATAGAAGCAACCCTGGTCTCAAAATGCAGAAATGAACAGCATCCGTAGACATGACGCTAGACTGCCTTCTGCAGCGTAACTTCAAGCTTGGAACCTGCTGTGTTCCTTCTGAGCACACAAGGGAAACCAGGTTCTTGCAATCTAGGCCCAAAGTTTTTGCAAATTTTACAAACACACACACACACACAAAATGAACATTTCTTTTGCCTCTCCAAATAAAGAGTGTTCAAGTATGACCTTCAGTAATTTTTAAAAGATTAAGCCCTCCCTGGTGGCCCAACGGGTTAGGACACAGCACTGCAAGCTGGCCACAGCTGCTTCCATGCAAGTTCGATTCTGGCCCCAGACAAATTCGATCCCCGGCCCGAGCTGACCCACAAGGCACAACAGATCTCTCCTGTCTAGGCCGCTGCTCCCCTCAGCAGTGTGCTTCATCAATCTGCCTGTTCTGCTCCCCACTCTGTCTCTGGTGAATCCTCTCGCCGTCCCTGCACCTCTGGCCTGTACCCCAAGCCTGTATGCATAAATAAATAAATCTTTTTAAAAAATTTTTAAATTAGAAGGAAAAAAAAAACTTTGGTTATTCCAGGAAAGATTGGCCTCTGATTATAAACATGCAAATCTATTTACTGCCTGTCTTCTTCCACTAGAACATAAATTCCAAGAAAGCAAGGATTTTTTCTAAATTGTTAGCTCCTTGAACCGCCTTCCTGGCACCTCTTGGAGTTCTATAACTATTTGTTGAATGAACCAGTTGGGGCTGGTAGAATGTTCCAGGTAGGGAAAACGATTGCATGTCACTCAGAGCTTGAGGAGTGGATGGGTTTGAGGTGATGTCACTGAACCCTCGGAACAGTGACTACTATCACACCCATTTTCAAAATGAGGATGCCAAGAGACAGGGAGGTGAAGCAAATGCCTAGACAAAAGTGGCATGGGGGGTGTCCCTGGTGCCATAGGGCTTAGGTCTCAGCACTGTGAAGCCACTGCAGCACAAGTTCCATCCTTGTCCCCGGAGGTGACCCACATGGCGGAGCAGACCTCTCTTGTCTTGCCCACTACTCCCCTCAGCAGTTCAGTAGATCTACCTGTTCTGCTCCTCACTCTGTCTCTGGTGAATCCTTTCACACACACACACACATACACATACACACACACTACCTACCCTACCTATGGCCTACACCCCAACTCTTATATGCATAAATAAATAAATAAATCTTTTTAAAAATAGTGGCATTGGGTCTAGAATTAGCATTCTCTTCCCCTCCTCTTCCCCTAGTTACCCTCCCCCCCTTCCTCCATGACTCCTTGCGCAAGCCCCTGATGCAACCCTGTACTGGCCCAGGCACCCCTCTTGGGGGCAGTGCTAGGAAAAAGTTTTTGCAACAGCTGGGGCAGGAAGCACCCGCCTAGGTGGGTCCCGGGAAGATAAGGGTGGCCCGCCCCTGGTGTGCCTCCAGGCCTTCTGGTTTCCTCTCGTCCCTTCCCTTTCCGGAAAAGCAGCGCCGCCCGACCCCCGGCCTGGCCCTGACTCACCTCCTTTCTCTCTGCCTGCCAGCCCTGGATCTCTGCAAGACACTGGAAAGCCCTGTGGTGTGTGACCCTGGCCAGCAGGGAGCCTTCTGTGGCCAGCAGTTCCTGGAGTTCAGTAAAAGTAGCTCTCAGGAAGAAAGGTTCTGACCCTGGCCTTAACCTTTGAAGGCAAAATGTAGATAGTTCCTGGGCAGCCAGCCTCCCCTGCCCCCCATGAAACCAGCTTTGAGGTCTGGGGGTGACTCATATTAGCAGGTATAGGGTTGGTGTTTGTGTGAGAAGCACTCGACCCTCTTGGAGGCACAGTGTACACTGAGGTCAGGGCTCTGCAGCCCTCAGCCTTCAGGCCAGAGCACACATTTTCACTTTGGGGAGTCTCTGCCTGGTTCAAGACATGTGCTCAGCTATGTGACCTGCCCCCCCCCCCCCGGGGCCAGATCACAGGTCCCTGGCCAGAACCACTTAGAGGTTGAGGGGCACAGGGCCACTCCCATGTTTCAAAGCTCAGACTTTTAATTTATTTAAATTTTTAAAAATTATTTATGCATACAAGAACTGGGGTGTAGGCCAGAGGTACTGGGGGTGAGAAGATTCACCAGAGACAGAGTGGGGAACAGGACAGGCAGATCTACTGAAATACACTGCTGAGGGGGGGGCTGCACCCTTGGAGAGGTCTGCTGTGCCATGTGGGTCAGCTCCCTGCTGGAGATGGAACTCAGGCTGCCCATAGCTTGACAGCCCTTAGATTTAACCCCTGCACCACCAGGGAGGCCCCTCTAGTTAGCTTTTTTAAACTAAGATTTGCTAAGATGTGGATTGCACAAGATGGAAAGAAATTCCTGGTTTGTGTGTTTAAAACAAAAATACACAAGTAGATTTAAATTAGAAATAAGATGAAAAGTGCAACCTGGAGGTCCGAGGGGCCATGAGCCCCCTCATAAGCCTTTGGAGCCGCCCAATTTCTGCAAAATCCTCTCAAGACAACATCCTTCTCAAGCGCTCTTCTCTTCTGAAACGTAGGAAGCAGGCGCTGGGGGAGGGGGGAGTGGGGGGGGTAAAAGGGAGCTAATCGTGTGCCCTCAGGAAGGGTGCAAAACAGTGACACCAGGCGTACTTAGTGTCTGCTGTGAGCTACTCACTGGCGCAAAGCTGATGCGCGCATGGGACCCCCAAGGCTGAGATTGGAACCCCGTTTTCAGCTGAGAAAATAGAGGCCCTGCTGAAATGATGACATCAGGCTGAGTTCGAGACTGGGTTTCACCAGACTTGCTACTAAAACGTTAGCTTGTTCCCACTGGTCTTTAAACGAGTGCGCCATAGCACTGCCCCCCACAACTGTGAGAAGGCTTAGACGCATGAATTGTCTAGCACGCACGTAATAAGCACCCTGGACGTGTTATTAAATAAAGGCTTCAAGCGTCGGTCCACAGCGCGGAGGGGCAGGGTCCGAAGTTCAGGAATCTTCCTCCTGATGTTTCTTACCCAGCAGAGAGCTCGGTAGGAGGGGTTGAGGCTTTAATGATTTCCCAAAGAGGGGTAAAAAGGCATAGGGTTTTGCGTGTCAGTGTCTACACACACACTCGCTCAAAGCCCCCTTCCACCCCCTCGGCCTCTGCCCCCCACCCCCCCCCCCCCCCATCCCCCCCCGCGAGGCCCGGAGTCTCTTATGCAAGCCGCCGGCGCCCGCCGGTTCCCAGGCCGGCTGCAGCTGCGGGCGGAGAGGCAGGGCGGGGGCGGCGCTGTTTGTCTAGAGCGGCCGTGCCAAAGGCGGCAGGCCCCAGACAGCCAGGCGCCTCCGTACACCTGGGGATGCTCAGGTTAAATAGCTCCGCATTCCTCGGGCCCAGCTGATGGAAACGCTCCCAGGCCGCCGCCGAGCCGGCCTCCAGATGGGCTGGGCCTGGGCCAAAGGGGAAAAGAGGGAAACGTGGAATCCAGAGTGTGCCTGAATGGCGGGGGAGGTGCGCAGGCCCCGCACCACCCCTTCCTCCCCGGGAAAAAGGCCCCGCGGGGCAGGAGTCCGCGCGGGGACACGCCCCCGCCCCCGTGGGTGGGCTCGCCGGCGGGGGCGCGGTGGAGGGAGTGGGTGCGCACGTGTGCCTCTGACGACACTTCAAGGACACACAGGCGACCATTAATAGTGCTAATTTACAGCTATCAAACGCTGCGTGCTGAGCGCTCTACTGCATTATTCTTTACAACAATTATGTGAAGTTAATGCTATAAAACAGCAGCCGGGTGGGGAGTATCAAAGGACATAATTTACCTATAAATATTATGTTCTTTGATAAAGCTCATAATGTGCTTGGAGAGGGTCTGGTTCCTGGCTTGGTGCTCAGTAGATGATAATCTTTCACTTTTTTGTTGTTGGGTTTCACTAAGCCTCAATTTTTTCTGCTGTAGACGGGATCAGAATCCTGCATTGGACCCCACAGGGATCCACCAAATTCTTTATGTAAAGGGTTGAGCAGGGTCAGGCTGGTGGTGCTGGGAGCTGTTTATTTTTATTGTATTTGTTGTAAGTGCCTCTGTTGGCAAGTTCTTTGCCCTGCCTGGGACTCCGTTTCTCCAAGTTCGACATGGGAGCCAACCAGTAGGGATACTTGAGGGCTAGTGACCCCAGGACCTGACAGTTGTCCTGAGGGTTGGTGGAGAACCGTGAAGAAGCATTTGCTAAACAGCTGCCCTGCCTCGGCTCCAGACCAGCAGAGACCCAGGAATGTCAACCAATCTGCAGATCGATTACACACTGAGAACCGCCCAGTGTGGTTCTGCAGCCCTCATACACAAGCCGGTCCATCAAGCCAGACCCATGCAGAGATGCCCACCACACTCAGGCAGATGCACAAGCCCAAACAGCTGGAGGCTGCACTTATCTGCAGAACACATGTGCTCACATTTGCCTTTCGGCATACACCCCCGGTGCATATCACTGACACCCCCAAATCTGTACCACATGACCCAACCCCATAGGAGTTTGGAGGACACTACCAGTTCACTGTTACATATACAGGCCCAGCCACTCATGCACTCCCCTGAGTGCAAACTCACATGTCCAGGCAGAGAGGCCCTTGCCAGCGACACCTTTTCCCTGCTCTGGGAGTTAAGAGACTGACTGGCCCACTCCTCCGCAGAGCCCACACAGGAGCCCTGCGGGGAGAGGGGTTAGTTGAGCTGCTGGCATAGCCAAGCCAGGGGGAGGGGGCCGAATCCAGGCCCAGAGCAGGTGGCCCGGCAGCTGTGCCCAGGCTGGCCCTGCCAACATGCTCACCCACTTGGACAAGCTGGGAGCCCCAGGGCAGCCTGCTGGGATCCAAGGTTAGGCTGGCCTATCAGGGAAACACCTCCTACTGGGCAATGGGGCGATTAGTCCGGGCTCAAGCTGCAGCTTTGGGCAAGTCCCTTTTTTCTGGGTCTCGCTTCCCCCTCCTCTCTGCAAAATGCAGGTGGCCCACTGACCAGCTAACTCTCCAACTTCAATGGTTTATTGAATTGTCCACCCAGAGGGGGCCTTGGCAGGTTGATCTGCATTTTAACAACCTCCCCAGGTGACCCAGATGGCCCCAGGACTGCTTTAGGAAACCCTAGAGGTCTAGAGGATTAATTTTATGACTCTGGGGAGCAGGGAAATGGCCTGGGATGGGAGAAGAATTCTTTAAAGACACCGGAAATACTCATTTCAGGTCGGTAAAAGCGACAGTCCAGATGTAACCCTCCAGTCCCCAACCTCCTAGCACCAGCTGCGACAGGCTGGGGGAGGGGGTCACCCTCAGCCCAGCCCCCACAATCCAAGAAGTCACTGCAACTTTACCACCATCTAAAGTATTTGTTTAATAACAACAACAAAACCCCACAGAACTATTGTAAAACAATATTTTCAGTTGGTGATCATTGTAATATACAATACAAAGCAATTCATTTCCTCAGAAATCTGAGAAGCACCAAACGTGACCATTTTTTAAAATGTCTGTTTTTCAAAAAATAGAAACAAATGGGGGGATTCCCCCAAGTCTCTGGTGACTGATATGTGTGGAGGGAGGGTCGCCAGCCCAGTCAGTCCCCCAGCCCTGGGCTGGATCCAGCAAGTCCGGGATGGCCTCCGATCTCAGTCCTGTTCCTCCCCGGCTCCCTCGAGGCACCTGAGAGGATCAGAGAGCACTTCTTTCTCTAGCCCCCAGTAGGGCTGGGGTCCGCGGGTCTCAGAGGATGGCACTTCAGCGACACAAGATGCGATCGTCCGCTGGAACACACGCCGCCTGTGAAAACGAGAAAAGGAGTTGAAACGGGGCCGAGAGGGCTGCAAGCCCACCTTCCCCAAGAGACAAGGAGTGGGAGCCCTTTTTCCAGCTTCCCTGGGCATCACCGCATAATCGGGAGCCTGAAAGGGCAGGGCAGACCTAGGGCCAAGTCCTCACTGCCTCTCTGGGTCTAAGTTTCCCTACTTATAGAAGAAAATTGACGTCGTGCTCAACTCGGACCTCACCTCTGCCGCCAGCGCGCTGATCTCGCCGTTGAGGGTACTTAGCGGAGCCCGGGCGGGGAGCCCACGACCCCCGGGCGTTCCGACTTGGGATTCAGATCTCAGCTCCGACTCCAGGTCCCAGATGTAGTCGATGACGTGCTGGAGGATCTCCACTTTGCTCACCTTGCGGTTCTGGGGCAGGGTGGGCACCAGCTCCTTGAGGCGCGAGTAGCAGCCATTCATGTCGTAGAGCAGGACATTCACCTGCGGTTCGTCCAGCAGGGCGGGCAGGCGCGCCCCCGCGCCCCCGGCGCAGCGCGAGATGGCCACGCTCTGCTCCGACAGGGAGCGCACCACTTCGCCCGCGCCTCCCGGGGTCTTGCCCGCCTTCAGGGAGCAGCTGGGACCGGCGGCGGCCGCGGCGCTACCACTGGCGACCTTCATGATTTTGCCGTCGGGGTAAGAGAGGAGGCGAAGCGGGCGAGTGTGGTCAAGGACGTGCGGGAAAGACTCAAGGCTCTCAACACAAGCTTGTAGAATACCACCGCGGAGTCCCACGGTCCACTATTTATATAAACACCCCTGGGGGCGGGACCAGACATTCGAAAGTGACCAATGGGCGGCGGGGGCGTGGCCTGTGCGTCCCGCCTCCAGCCTCCCCTCCTAGCTCGCCTGCGTGGAAAGGAGACTCGGGTCTCTCGGGCAGAGAAAGTGGGAGGGCTTGGGGCCGAGGGGGGCCGGTGTGGGGGGATAGAGCCGAGGGCTGCCTTGGGCTCCTCGGGAAGGAGGCTAAACCGGTATTGCCGATAGCCAAGAGTTCAAAATCAGTTTCCCCAGGATCATTTTTTCCCACCTTTCCAGACCCATTTTATAGATGAAACCGAGGCCAAGATGGACTGGATAGACAACTGAGACAGTCCGGTACTGGACCTTATTAGACGACTACCTCTGGGGCCTTGACCTGCCGAACATTTGGGCTGTAATTTAAAGTTGGCCTCCTTCACATCTGTTCCCAGGGTCCATCTTCGTTTCCCAATCCCCAAAGAATAGTGCCAATTAATGTCCCCGAGACCTTTTGAGGTGGGAGCAAGACCTTACTTAAGACTTTTTGGGAGTGGGAACAATTCGTTCTGGAAACTTTTGGGATATGAACTAGATAGGCGGCGCCCAGACGTGGGGCCGCAGCTCCTGATTCTATTCTGAATTTGCAGCCCCTGCAAAAATTGCCCCAAATGTGGATCAACTAGTGATTTAAAATGTTTCTCTCTCTCTCTCTTTCGCTCTCTCTTTTTTTTTTTCTCCCAAAGACCTCGGATCAGGGTCTCCCTCCCACGGCGCGGCAGCTGTGGCGCTCCAGGCTCCCCCCTCTTGTTCCCGGGCCGGTCTGTGTCAGCGTCTGAACAAGCGGCTCAGACCGTTAGACGCCAGGCCCGTGACGTCACCCATTCATAAAACCGGGACTGGCTGTCAGGCTGGCGCCGCGCGGGCGGTCGCCTTGGAGACTGGTTTGGCTCGCTAGCCTGCTACCTCCCGGCCAGCCAGTCACCTGCGGACCTCCGGCGGGAGGCCTGGGAATGCGCTCCTGGCTGGCGCGGTCGCTGGTCTGGGGTCACCTTACCTCCCCGCCCCACACCTGGGAATCTTCCCCCCACCCCACCCCTGGGGCCCACTCCTTGGGTCGCTTGGGAGGTTTCTTCAAAACCCCCGCTCCCCCCAAGCCTGGCTCCCTCCCCCCAGCCGCCTAGGGGAAGAGGCCGGTGTTTCGAAGCAACTCAGCTGCTGGGTAAATTTAGTGGGCCCTTTTCGAGCCCTGTCTGGTATTTAGATTAAAAAAAAAAAAGTATGTGTGTGTTTATTGACCTCTTCACACGAGGCACTGAAAAGTTTGTCTTATCATCTTCTGTAATTCTCACCAGGACTAAAGAGAAAGGCTGTTTGGTCTTTTTATACAATAAGGAGAAAATTGAGCAAAAGAGAAAATCGAGGCTCAAAAATCCACCCAAGGTTGATGGGGGTGGGGAGGAGGGAATAAAATCAATCCTCCCAAGATTTATAGCTATTGTCAGAGCAGCGTCATTATTAAAAGGACATGATATTATCGTGTAGTCCCTGCCTGGACCGCAGGCAGTGGGCTCCAGGGCCCTAGACAGACCTGGGGCAGGGAAGAGGCTGTGAGTAGTCATCCAAGACCACCCATTTGAGCAGGAATAAAAAAGTCTGCTCACACAGAAAAGGGTGATATTATGTTTCCCCACACACACACACACCCAAACAATTCACTGGAAATCTGCAGGTTTCCCCTCCTGCAGAAGCTGGGTTAGGGGACATTTAACCAGCCTTCTAGTTTCACATTGGAAAACCAGGAAAATGGATCCGCAAGACCCGCTTCAAAGGAGAGTCATCAATTAACCAGACTGTTCATCCCTCTTCTACATCTCCCCCTCCCAACCCCTCAAGCTCCACAGGCCTTATTTAGCAATTCTCTAATGATTGGTGAGAACATTTTGCTGGGCAAAAGAATTGCCAAAGAGTTGAAAGGACCAACCGGAGGAAATTAGAATATTAATTCATTACTGTATGTTTTTAATTGATGCATCAATTTTACTTTTTAAATCAATTCCAGAGAAACCTACACACACAAACCTAAAGATTTCTGCTCAGAGATGTTCACTGACGAATTACTTAACAATAGGGAAGTTGACCACCTAAATGCCCATCAACAGTGACATTACCTAAAGTGTGACGAGGACATCAGTCTGTAGCAGGTAGAAAGTGTGTCTTGGCTCTCCCTGGTGGGGCAGCAGGTTGGAGCCCTGCACTGGGAAGCTGAGCCAAGCCTGGCGCTTCACTGTGTATTCCACCATGGAGCTGACTCACAGGGCAGGGCGGACCTCTCCTGTCTCACCCGCTGCTCCCCTCAGCAGTGTACTTTGTCCATCTGCCTGTTCTGCTCCCCACTCTGTCTCTGGTGAATGCTCTCACCACCACTGTACCTCTGGCCTGAACCCCAGTTCTGTGTTCATAAATAAATAAATCTTGGACAAAAAAAAAAAGAGAGAGAGAGAGAGAGAGAGAAGAGGTTATGTGACAGTTCTAAGAGAGGTACAATTGATTTTTAGTGCAAGGTATCACAGTGGTGGTTCCTCTTGGAGTGGCAGGAATTTTCTGAAATGATGGAAATGTTCCATGTCATGGTGAGGTATGGGTCATGACTTGTCAAAACATGCTAACCTGGGACCTCACTGCTAACACAAAGGGTTAAGTCTCAGCACTATGAAGCTATCCGAGCTGTCCTGTCTGCAGCCACTGCAACACAAGTTCAAGTCCTGACCAGGGAACTAATCCATATGGAGCAGCAGACCTCTCCTCTCTGGTCCGCTGCTCCCCTCAGCAGTGTATATCAGTAGACTATCTGAACTGCTCCCCACTCTGTCTTTGATGAAACCTCTCAACCACCTGCCCTGTACCCCTGGCCTATACCCCAGTTCTTTTATGTGTAAATAAACAAATCTTTAAAAAATAAATACAACTAATAATTCAAATAAGGGTTAGCACTGTGAAGAGGAGTGAGAGGAAGGAGAGCAATGTGAAATAGGAATTTCACTTTTATCTTCACATAGATATATCATTCTTTTTTTCTTTTCTTTTTAAAGATTTTATTTATTTATGCATACAGAACTGGGGTACAGGTCAGAGGTGCAGTGGCAGTGAGAGGTTTCACCAGAGACAGAGTGGGGAGCAGAACAGGTCAACTGATGAAGTACACTGCTGAGGGGAGCAGCGGGGGGTCAGGAGAGGTCTGCTGCGCCATGTGGTCACCTCCAGGGCAGGCGGGGATCGAACTCATGCTGGAGTGTCTTTACCTCCTTAGTGCTATACTTTAACCCACTGCGCCACCAACGAGGGCCCTCTTTTTTTCTTTTTAAAGATTTATTTATTTATACATATAAGAATTGGGGTACAGGCCAGAGGTGTGGGGGTGAGAAGATTCACCAGAGACAGAGTGGGGAGCAGAACAGGCAGATGTACTAAGGGCAGCAGCAGGCGAGACAGGAGAGGTCTGCTGTGCCATGGGTGTTCATTCCCTGGCTGGGGATTGAACTCACACTGCAATGGCTGGTGATAGCTTGATAGCACTGAGACTTTAACCCCTGTGCCACCAGGGAGCCCCTCATTCTTTATTTCTTATTTTATACAGCATTATTTAACAGACACATGCCATATATCTTTACAGCATGCTATTTTTATGTTTGGGCACACACAAACACATCAACTGTAATCACAAAATTTCATCACTTTTAAAAGTTCCCTTTTGCCCCTTGTAATTCCTCCTTCTTTCACTCAGAGCCCAGGCACCCTCTCACCTATTTTCTCTGCAGATAGCATGTATCTTCTAGAATTTCCTATAAGTGGGGTAGAGTGTATAATACTCATATCAAATATGTATAGTAGAATATATATTATATATTACAGACAGTAGAATATATTACATATATTATACAGCCAAAGCCTCGCCTTTTTGGTTTACTTTTTCAGTCTAACTTCTTTAATTCAAAATAATTATTTTATGATTGACTCGTATTCTCTCTTTTCTTACTGCTGAGTAGAGGTAATGCACATCTGTTTCACAGATTATTCACCCTTTCACCTGCTGATGACATTTGGGTTGTTTATAGTCTTTGATGAGTACAACTAAAGTTGCTGTGAACACTTGCATACATGGGTTAATATGAGTTGTGCTTTCACTTCTCTTAGGTAAATACCGAGTATCCGAAATGATCGGATCACTAGAAATTTTTATTTAGTTTAGATCACTAGTAATTTTTATTTAGCTTTATTAAAAAATGCTAAGGGCAGGCCCTCCCTGGTGGTGCAGCGGGTTAAAGCACAGCACTAAGAAGCTGAAACCACTTCCGCATGAGTTCGATCCCCGCCTGCCCCGGAGGTGACCACACAGCGCGGCAGACCTCTCCTGACCTGCCCGCTGCTCCCCTCAGCAGTGTACTTCGTGGATCTGCCTGTTCTGCTCCCCACTCTGTCTCTGGTGAAGTCTTTCACCACCCCTGAGTTTCTGGCCTGTACCCCAGTTCTGTATGCACAAATAAATAAATCTTAAAAAAAAAAATGCTAAGGGCCTCCCTGGTGGTGCAAGGGGGTAAGCACAGCACTATGAAGCTATCTGCACCCACTTGGCATAGCAGACCTCTCCTGACCTGCCTGTTGCTCCCCTCAGCAGTGTGTTTTAGTTAACCCGCCTGTTCTGCTCCCCACTCTGTCTCTGGTGAATCTTCTCATCCCCTACACCTCTGGTCTGTACCCCAGTTCTTGTATGCATAAATAAATAAATCTTAAAAAAAAAAACTGCTAAGTTGCTTTCCACAGTGGTTTTCCCCTTTTTCATTCTTATTGGTAGTGTGGAGAGTTCCAGTTCTTCCAGCGCTTCCCTGACAGTGGGGGCAGTTAGCCCTTCTGATGTCTTATAGCAAGATAATGTTTTTTGGGTTTTTTTTTAAAGAGGTGTGGGTGTG